TTCCGCAGGAGCCGGGCCCGGCGGGGGCCGAGCCGCAGCGGGGGAGTCGGGCCGGGCGGGGGGCGCCGAGCCGTGTCCCCGGGCTGCCCTGCGCCCTGTCCCCGCTGGGAGCTCTGGAGCTGGCGGGACACGGGGCATCCCCCCGCCCCGCTCCCCGAGCTCCTTCCGCCTCCCCTCGTTCTCCGCTGCGGAGGCCGAGCCCCGGGCGTGGGGAGCCGGCCCGGGCAGCGGTACCGCCCGCAGTCCCCGCTGTCCCCCGGCGTGCCGGGCACCCGGACCCTGCCGCTTGAGCGAGCTGCACGGGGACACCGCGTTATTACTTATTGTCCTTGGGCTGTCCTGCCTCCCCTTCAGGGATGGAGACCGAGCTGCTGCTGGTCCCGAGAGCTCTGCGCAGCGTCCTAAAGCCTCCCGAGGCGGGGGGTGGGAGAGAGCTGCTCCGGGGAGAGATGACGAGGAGGAGCATCTTCGGGAGGAGCGGTTCGGCGGGTCTCCCGGCCTGCGCCGAGCCAGAGGTGGTCTCCCAGCTGCTCTCCCCGGGACCTGCCAGGTGGTCCCTGGAGACCAATGTCTCTCAAACTGCCCCTAGTCTTAATTCGGAGAAGCGTTCTGGGCTTTTTTGGAAGATGACAAGAAAAAAGTAGATGTTGGGGGAGGTGAGAGGGAAAGGGGGGAATAGAGTTTGTGCTTGGTGTGGAGTTCCTAGGCGGTTGCTCTGTGTCTCCAAGCAAGTAGTTTGCCTTTGATGCTGCTTGCACATACCGTGCACATGCCGGCTCAGATTGGTTTGCTGAAGGAGAGATGTGTTTTCAGCCCAGTCTCTGCTTTGCAGAAAAGGTCTCTCTTCCACAGCCCTTTTGCGGTGCACCTGGCTTGCAGACGCAGCAAGGAAGGGCTTAGGGCAGCTCGGGCAGGATTCTCACACATCTGTTGCCCAGAGGCTCCAGGGTCTCTTTCTTCCATTTCCCTGCTAAGTTCAGGCAATTCCAGTGCAGAAAGTACTCAGGAGAGAGTATGCTCAAGCTGCAGGATCCTGCCTTCAGCTTCAATCCCAAATGGGTCTTGTTTTAATTTTTTTAAAAAATCCCACATTTTAGACAACAGGGAAAACTGAGGCGGAGGCTGTGTAAAACCTGCATGCAAAGTTTAGGTGAAGCTGTGGCGTAAACAAATGGTAAAAAGCAAGCACTCAAGTAGTGAAAGCATTGCTGTTATCACGCAAGGTCAGTCACAGCTGGCATGAACCTGCAAGGGGCCAAACAGATGCCAGCTGGAGCTGTAGTGTTCAGGGCGGAGGTATCTGCATGTGGATTGTTGTAAATCACAAGAGTTACAGTGCTCCTGTCCCCGAGCGGGAAAAGACTCTAAAGCCCAGCTGGACCTGAGCAGTGAGGCTGAGGGATGCACCAGGTTGCAAAGCTGGGGCGTCAGCTCATCACAGGATGGGCCTGTCAGCATGGGGAAGACCCGGCGGCACTGAGAGCCCCGCAGAGACCTCGCTGGAGGGTTCTGGCCCACGGTCTGTCCGCAGTCAGGAGTCAGGGCTGAGTCACTCAGGGAACCTGGCATGTATTTTCCTGTGCTTTTCCTGATGATTCTTACTCTGCTGGGAATGGGTGCTCTTGGAGGAATGTCGCTCTCACAGCTGGTGTGGAGGCTGTGAAGGGTGAACTGCAGCTGTGTTTCCAGCATTGCTCTTGTGCTGCTTGCGCCGTAAAGCCCTCAGCAGTCCCCACTGCTGATGCTTGCTGTTGATACACTGGTGGTATTTTCTCTTTAAATTATTAGCCCTGTGATCATCAGGTTCGCTGCTTTCTAGTGGTGTTTCAGAGGATCCCAAAGCAATGTGTAAGCTCATGGGCTGAAACTGAAGGTCCTCTCATAACCAAAGCACCTTTCTATACCTGCTGGCAGAGCTTTCGGGAGTGTGTTCAGTCTCTTCAGGCTGCACCCAAGTGTACCTGCACCTGGGGAGTGGCACAGGACTTGCCTGGAGAGCATGGGGCATAACTGGGGAAGCCCAATTATGGCAGAAGCTGTGATTTTTCTGCAACCTCCCTGCTTTTTGCTGCTTGGAGAAAGCTGCTGCTTGTCATCCTTGTGAGCACAGAAGCTGTTTTTTTCCTGCTGGGGACTGGAAGCCTGGTGGCTTCCTGCAGTCAGAGTTTAAAACATCAGTGCCTTTAAAGAAAACACTTCAGGGTCATTCCTACTGTTCAAATTAAGTCTTGCATAATCTTCTCCCCAAAGGACAGATTTTGCAATGAAAACTTTATGTAAAGCAGCAGCCTGGCTTCTCATAAATTAAGGCCATGGGGTTTTGACTTGGAGCACAGTTTTTGAGACAACGTTCAACTTTGAGCATTGATGGCAAATGCCCCATCTGATCTTCAACATGAGAGCTTAAGGCTAGAGGTGTACATCTGTTGGCACCGAACATGAAGTGTTGTGTTGCTGCTATTTAGCAAGTGTTTGGCTGGTGCTGTGCTGCTCCTGTGTCCTCAGGGACAGCTGTAATAATAAAAAGTGTGTGTGCTGTGGGTCAGCTCTGTCCTGCTGTAAGTTAGTTAGAGCTGCTGGAGTTACAGTGGGGTGGGAATGGGTTTTGATGTCCTGGGAGAGATGTCCTGAACTGCATCTTCACCAGCCTTCTACTCAACTGCTAGGTTGCTGCCAGGGTTCCTCTCTGCTCCCCTCCCTCCTCGTGTGGAAGTGGGCAGCAAGCAAATTACGGTGTACAAACCCACAGTGAGCAGCACAAGCCTGCCAGCCAGGGGTCTGCTACCCACACTACCGCTGTGCCAGAGTCGGGTTAAGGGCTCTGCATCCGTGGTAGGAGATGGGAAGAATTGGCTGCAGTGGACAATGCTGCCTGCTCTCAACTTCTCACAAGTCATATGTTTTTTAATAGGCCAGTGGTGGATTCGATGCATCATGTGGTAGCAAAAGGAAGGCTCCAAGTGTAGAGAGGGGAGAGCAGTCCTGGGTGCTTGAGGCAAACGTAACTTGGGGTGCTGCCCCCAAGGCAAGTAGGCAAACCTTGCCCTGACATAGCAGGATTTGAGCTCACCCTCCGCTCTCCTGGGAAGGACTCATGTCTTGCAGGACATATCCTTGAGGCTGTTGGAGCAGGGAGCATCTCCCCTGTACCCACACAGCCCTGCTACGGGGGACGAGGGCGAGGGACAAGTGCAGGGCAAGGACATGGTGCCCAAAAGTGCTACTGAAATGCTGGACTGAGAAAGCACTCGGCTGTCATGCTGAGGTGGGTCTAGTTATCTCCATCTCAAAGCATGGGCTTTTAAAATTATTTCTTACCTACCTATCTCATGCAGCCTTCAGCAGGTAGATTACCGTGGTTTTAGTCCCTGTGTACAGATGGGATGGAGCGGCCCAGTGCCCAGGGGGTGCTCCCATCCTGGCCTCTCGTCATCAGCAGCTGTTTATTGAAGTAGCTTTTCTCCTGAGCATGAATAAATCCATTAGGGGGGAGGGGAGGGGAGGGAAGAGAAGTAAATTAATATATCTGTGTTTTCAGTTCAAAAACCTCTGCCACGGCTGAAACCTGGAGCCTCAGTTATGTTTCTTACAATGTAGAGTCTTGAAGTCAGTGTGTTTTCCTTGTGTGCCTGTTGGTGCTGCCGGGGTAGCAGAGGCAGATGGCCAGCATTGGCCATCGCACCAGCACTGGCTGTCACATCAGCTCCTGGGAATATTTGGGTGGCAGTGACTGAGAAGCAGGCTGGCTGAAATAAGCCCTCTTCATTGCTGGTGAGTCTAAGACAATTTGTCCCCTCCTGACTTTGTATAGTGTGAGAGGGGGTGGTTTGTTTCTGTACACAAGCTATATAATTCAGTGAAAGCAGGTCTGAAAATGTTCTTTTCCCATGTTGAGAAAGCTTTAAAGCACAACAGTGTCTGCCAAACCTGCTGAAATAGTTTTCCTCTAGCTTTTCGCAGGAAAGAGGCTAAGAAGCAGAAAAGGGTTTCTCTGCCCCTTATCTATGAAAGGTTGAGAAAATTCTTTGTCTTTCATTAATTTGTTTTAAGCTGCCTGGAAAAATTTCTCACCAAGTGTGACAGAGCAAGAGAGTCCTTGCAAGGGAGTGAGAGAGCTCACACTTGCTGTTCAGGCCTGTATTTCAAGGATTCAGGCAGGAATGCTTCTCCGCTGGGTTTTGATCTCTTCAACAGCAGGGCAGGAATCTCGGGCATGTTCGATAAGGTGCTCCTGAGTCCATCCCATGCCTATATTATTTAACTGCAGATGTTCTACTTGTTGAGCACATTAGGCTAAACAATTAGTGTGATGTATGTGTTTTCCGGTACCCCACGTGTGAGTCACTTGAGTGTGTTTACAGCCCTTGTCACCAATCTTCCATTACTATCCCACACCAACTTGCCTGTGCCCTTGTTGAATTCAGGTCTGCTTCCAAGATGTCACTTGCTTGGGGTCTGTGAAATGTGTTCATCTGATTTGTGTTAATATCTTTAACTGTTCTGTTTGTTCTTGTATGACCATGGGCTTGGGAGAAGCGGGATTGGATGTATGTAGTTTCTGTTTCTTGTAAGAACCCCTAAGGAAACAATTTTTTTTGTTACTGGCCGCGTGGTGCTGAGCGGGAGGGGTCTGTGGGGCGCACGCCTGGAGTCGGGGGTCATCCTGGGGGCGAGCCAAGGAAAACACATAGAAGATTCCAGAAGGTGAGGAGGGCATGCGCCAAAGAAGACACGCCTATCATTAGCATAGGCCAACCTTTGTATGAATATGTATTAGGAGAAGCGATATAAACCCCAAAACGGGACTTGCACGTGTGTGCTTTGGTTGAGCGGAGACTCCCGGTGCACCCAGCGCTGTTTGCTTGTCTTTACTCATTTAATAAATTGTAAATTCTAATTGGAATCCTGTTTGAGGAAAAATCATTTATCACAGGGTCCCACCACCACCTTGTCCCTGTTGGGCTGCCCTGCACAGCATGTGGGTGGCTCGATCTGAGGTGGCACATTACAAAGGCGCTGGAACGAATGTGGCGGTGTGAGG